CCAATCGAGAATCTGTGGAAAGAACTGAAAACTGCTGTTCACAAATGCTCTCCATCCAACCTCACTGAGCTCGAGCTGTTTTGCAAGGAGGCATGGGCAAAAATTTCAGTCTCTCGATGTGCAAAACTGATAGAGACATACCCCAAGCGATTTACAGCTGTAATCGCAGCAAAAGGTGGCGCTACAACGTATTAACTTAAGGGGGTTGAATAATTTTGCACGCCCAATTTTTCAGTTTTTTATTTGTTAAAAAAGTTTGAAATATCCAATAAATTTCGTTCCACTTCATGATTGTGTCCCACTTGTTGTTGATTCTTCACAAAAAATTACAGTTTTATATCTTTATGTTTGAAGCCTGAAATGTGGCAAAAGGTCGCAAAGTTCAAGGGGGCCGAATACTTTCGCAAGGCACTGTATATGCTATGTCACATTTACAAATTAGAAAAAAAACTGACTGCACAAATTTTAGGAAGGTCAGTAACAAAATGCCATTGTCTCATTTGTCAAATTGGACCTCTGGAATGATTTTGGTATTATGCTTTACCATATTACACACTACTTATTTCTGCAAAAACATGTTATTTCTTATTTCCATTAGGATAGATACTGTTGTCCTGACACAGGTCTGAATGTAGAATGCAGCTAATTTGGTACATATGTAGTACAGTTGAAGTAAATGTGAATTAACATTCCTTAATTGATGACATAGTAAGTCTGAACTAATCACAGAAAGTCACAGTGGCATGATCATTTGTGAATGGTGAGTAGCAGGAACTAAATAAATATTGCAGTAATTTATGCATTAAATCATCATGAGTGATGCATTAGTTAAACATTACTTAAGCATGCAATGTGTACCCTTACTATAAAGTGTTATCATTGAGCCTTAAGTGAAGAAGCAAAGGATTCATTGGAATTTAAAGGCAACAGCCTTCAGTAAACTGCAGAGTCACATGTGAGAAAGTGTAAGCATTGTGAAGGGATGCTGGGAAGGATTTTTAAAATGTTGCTGTGTGGTAGCATTTGTAATTTAAAAGGTGATGGGTGTTAACACTGTACCTCTCTCTCTCGCTCTCTCTTTCAGATGTTCAGCATATTAAACGACGGGATATTATTTTGAAGAGGGAGCTTGGAGAGGGAGCCTTCGGCAAAGTCTTCCTGGCTGAATGCTACAACCTGAGCCCCACCAAAGACAAGATGCTGGTAGCTGTAAAGGTAAGAGCCCTACAACTAGAGTTCCATCAGAATGAATAACAAAGCCTGAGAATAATTCTCCTAAGAATGTGAGTAAGGGCCCAGTGATCTATAGAGCACCACAAGATGAAATGATGGGTGTCGGCCCACATGTGAGAGTTCAAAGACAGGTAACGACTCTCACTGATACCAGACCCTAACGCCTGGGACATTGTCGGCCACCAAAGGACTGGAACTCCAAGGACTTACTTGTTAGAAGACTGTCGAAGGACTGAAACACCACCCAGTGGAATAAATACCTCCTGCTCACCACCAGTCAGACAGAACTGATGAAGCCTCTTGGGTGAGAGGTGAAATGTCTTTTACCTAAAATTACATCCAGATGCCTTCTGCTAAGTTTTTTTCAGCATACTGCAACCTGGATGACTGACTATTTGCATGGAAAAGATGGAATGATCAGTGTCTGCTGCCCTGTAAAAGCTATTTTTGTGTAAGCTTCTTCCGGCTCTTTGTAACCAGGGACTCACAGAGACGAAGCAGACCACTTGGATTATATAAAAAATAACCGTGCTGGTTTATTCAAAGAATCACAGGTAAAATTAACATTACACGTCCAGATCTCTTCCACCTCCAACCTGCACGCAGGCAGACGAAGTATGAAGGACCCTGAACCATAATGCCTATACAATATTATCACTTGGTTGGGCTAGCCCATTCTACCCAGCAACGTCAAACCGTGACGTCACCTGATATGCCAGCTTTGCAGCTGACCATAACAATAGTCAAAACATGAAGAAAATTAAAGTGTGTGGCTGTTGATTAGTGGTGTGTATCTAAGAACATTTTGACATGACATCTAGTGACATGTCATGACATTACACATAAGAAATCATTATGATTACAATTACGGTTACACATCTCATAATAATATCAATCACCTCCTGCCTGCAAACTTTTCTATCTAGTTGTCCTTGGCCCATATGCAGCCTGCAAAAAACTCATGAGAATGACTAAGCATTTAACAGCCTGAGCTAGACATCCTGGCTCCACTAAACATTCCTAATACAACAAATATCTAATCAATATCTATCTGACTAGGAAATTACCTAACACCTGGATACAGTTTTTTTTATAGGTGGTGGAGATCCTTTGGAAGAGCCTCAAAAGAGTTGAAAGTAATATCCAGTTTAGAGGCTGAATTGAGAATAGACTATACAGTATTAAGACAACACCACCAAACAACTTGTTTAGTCACCCAAGCAAAATGGGCACTGGTAAAATCAGGCAGGGCAGCTTCATTTAATTGTAAGAAACCACTTAGTTTGAGCCAAGTTTCAAATATACCAATCATATCCAGATTATGCCAGTGAATCAAATCATTCAGTAAGGATATGATAATCAGTGATCTGATATATATATTAGACCAAACTGAACATTTTGTTGAGGCAGGACCTCTTGGCAACAGGACAGTCTGCAGATGATGTATCTAGTATTTCTAGTTTTAAAAAAAATGGTGGCCTGCGAACCGAGCAATATGGAGATACAGCTGTGATTCTCTGGGAGTTTCGTAGAATTTTATCAGGTGTTTTGCGATGCGTGTGACCACCACTGCTGGGGATATTAATTAGTTCTTTGAGATTAACATATTTAAGCAACTTGTGCATTATAAGGTGGGGTACGGAGGCGGTCACAATGTAATTATCTGATCATCGTGATAAACTGTGGTTTCCCTTGCTGGGCTTATTAAGTATGGTAGTGGACTCCAAAATCACACTATCAATAAATCTAGCTGGCTATATAGTCACCTGAGCCCTGCCAAGTGTTAAGGTAGCCCCCCTCACCAGGAGGGTGAGGGAGGACTGGGGTAGGACTCAAAATAGCTGACCCAGGTGCTAGTACAAAAAAAAGGTGGTTTATTGGAATAAATACAAACAAAGTGACAACATAACAGGGTCCATAATACTTACAACCAGGAAAGGGCAGTGATAACTAAGGAGACCAGGACGAACAGGTAAACACACAAACTAACGGCAGGAAACAGGGTAAGTATTGTCCATAACATATAGCAATGCTCCGGAGACGAATAAAAAATATGTAGTGTAGTGGGAATTAGCGTAGCTCGTAGGTATTGTGGTAGAGTCAAGCCAAAACGCACAGTGTCTGTCAGCGTAGCATTCTACCAAAATATGTAGTGTAGTGGGAATTAGCGTAGCGCGTAGGAGCCAACAGGATAGAGAGAGCAGAGGAGAGAAAGACGGAGGAGAGGCAGCGGCCGCCGAGCGGCCCTGACACCAAGACTAAATCCCTAGTGTCAAACCCAACTGAAACTCCTGTCTACATTCCTGGATAAATTACTGGCTCCTACTTCACTAGGAGTATGACTAATTAAAATAATTAATTTGAACACAATTGATGTATATTGTGGAAAAAGATCCCTTTATTATTTTGAGTTGCATGAATTCCACTGGAATCAATGTGACTTACTCTATCCAGTTGGATCTCAGATGTCAGTCTGAGGACAAACACCCAAAAAAACCGAACAGATTTAATAGATATGATATACTCTTACTAAACTGTAAGCCTGTAAATAATAGGAGGCAATATCAGGCAAATGCATCCAAGGGTTCATAAGTTTAATTAGCTACTTGCTTATTTCTGAGACTTTCTTTCAAGTGGTTGTGAAGCATTAAATGTTACATAAATAAAGCATTTTTAATTACTTGAATTACTTTTAAATGACAGAAATTCTCCAATTGTACTTCCTAATGTCATTTTGAATATAATATGTCTGCAGCTTTCTTTTTGCAACACTGTGTTAGTACTGTGTAAATAATTTATATAAGACAGGGCAGCTCACATCAGCTAAATATCTCTCAACTTTAACAATAGCTGAAATGAAGGGAAACAAAAGTTCTGGGAAGGAAAGAGAAGTTGTAAGATTTGATTCTCATAAGCTCTAGTTACTTTATAAGCTTTAGTTACTTTTTATAAATTTAGTTTCCTTTAGTTACTTTTCAGTTCATTTTCTTTTAGTTACTTTTCATACCTTTATTTTCCTTGCTTATACATATTAAAACTGTATTGATGACTGCTGTATTCTATTGAGTGAAACTTTGGAACTGTATAGTGCAAATTCTGTAGACACAGGATGTCTGTATCTTCAAGTAACCAGACGGCTTATTTTACATTTTAACAAAGACCTGTTGGCCTGTTTTGCACCTTCACCTAGACCTGCTTAGCATATTCCAAGTTCTGCTTTGTCATGGGGTATCCTGCAGAAACAGGGGACCTACAACCTGAGATGACCACCTGGCCCGTTTAGCATACTCACTAGGTCCTGCAATAGCATCACACACACAGGGGGCCTGCAACCCAGACCACCCATTGTTCAATGTTCATTGATCAAGCTGCTGCCTGAGAAACACACACATACACACCTGGTTTAGATCACATTTCAACAAGCAAATGCAGGCAGGGGTTGACTTGCTCACACCAAATGGCCAATAGGATTACGAAGTGTGAAATGTTGTAATGAAAAAAAAACATAACTCATGGCTCAGAGAACGGTTTTCCTGCGGGAGCTCTGTCTCTCTCACCCCAGCGCTGTAAGAATTCACCTGTGCCTAGACTTTGAGTAAACTTCCTGTTGATTTTATACAGTCCTCTCCTGTCTTCACTTCTCACGCTTTCAATGAAAGAATTTGGGTATAATCTAACAAAGTTAAGTGAGATAAACTGTATAAGTATTTCTATATTTATAAGTACTTTATTTTTATTTTCCTAATGCACATTCCTTTTTATTGTTTGCACATTCTTTTTCTTTTTTTATGTTCTTTGTTTTATCTTGTTTACTTGTGTACTTGCTTTCAAAAGAACATTGTACACACACATTGAGACCCATTGTATCAGAGTCAAATTCCTCATGTGTCCAACATACCTGGCCAGTAAAGCTGATTCAGATTCTGATAAATATGGTAACCATGGCAGCAGTATTGCTTTTAAAGGTATTAACAGTAATTGGAGTGTTTCAACTCATTACTGTCATTCATTGAAGAATATGTTTGCTCCTCTGCCAGTGTTCATCATTTCTGTATTGTGAATGGATGTTGTGTTCCTGAGTTGCAAAAAATTCACTCTGCTCTGACCCCCGAGAAGCCCTTTTCTGTTTTGAAAGAAAGCAGAACATACTGTTGTGTTAAGAAGAAGAAACGAGGAGGATAATGAAAGAGAAAAATTAATGGTGTGTAACAACACAAGTGGAGGGAAACAAGAGAAAATCTTGGAAAATAAGGGAGGAGAATATATTTGTGTTTATTGTATGTATACATTCACAAATGCACACATACTGTTGGTTAGAACTGCAGTTATCCCTCTACTGCTGGCAATCTGCACTCTGTCCATTTAGTACTTACACTTGAGCCATTATATTCTGCATACTGCCATTAGGAGTTCAACACCCTGCTTAAGACATTTAAAACATGTGAACAGTGTAGTGAAAAGCATCGTAGTTAGCCATGCACATTTGCTTTTGATGTTATGGAAAAGTATGTGAAACATAATCTTGTCTTGTTCTCAAGCTGTGTTATCTGAAAAAGCAAGCTTTTTTTGGTTTCAATGCAGTGTGAACACTCCACTCACATTCACACAGTTTCTCACTAACACCTAGAAGTTGCCCACTACACCTCCACTGTGAACTAATAGCTAATACACTCCTCTACCAAAGCTGTTGGGGGCTAATTGCAGTGCCCAGAGACACCCCAGCAATGGTAATGAAGGAAGGATCATAGCTGCTTGTTTATAGCCTGCTTCTCTAATGTTTAGCTACCCATATTCCTCGTTCAATCCTGAGTACATATCACAGGAGCGCAGTATTTCAGCAGAGTAAAAATACTAATTGTGCTTGGGATGAGAGGAGCTGGTCTGATTGGACACGACTAAAGCTGCACACAAAACTGTACTGCAGCTGTGGTCACAAAAACTGCAAACCATTGTTGAACATGCACATATGCTCATGTATGTTCAATCATCTTAGTAAAGCTCAAACACAAGAAAAAAATATAAAAAACAAACCCTTGGATAAAGTGAAACATGACATGGCACATTTGATTCTCGCTTATGTTTACCTTTGTCAGTTGTATTAAAATCTGGCTGATCACTGGCACCCTATATGGCCTATTACAGCTGGATGCCAAAAGAAAGAAGATGATTTAAAAATCTTAAGTTGCAGTAAAAAAGTGACATGTTTGGAATCATTCAATTAAGCTTAAATTCAGTTTAATAATTGACAGTCGACCTTGTTGGTGTCAAGATACTATGATTTAAAAATGCTTCCAAAGCATATGAAGCAAATATTACAATTAAACAACTAGTTACACTTTATTATAGTGAGTAATATACATGTATAGTGGTTTTTCCTCTTTGTTTAAATTGGCTTTAATATAACATCAACAGTGCCAGCAACCTCGTGGCTCCTCTCAGGCTGCCTTTTCTTCTTTTCTCTTTGCTCTGTTGTTTTCCTTTGGCTGACACTAAATTGCAGCTATTACTACTACAAAAATAAACCTGTGTACTTTTTTTACTGCTTATGCTGTTTGCTACAGTAAATTACAGTGGTGTTGCAAAACTGAAGAGAAACTGAATATAAGAACAGGCCAAATAAAGGAGAAACGGCTGTTTCCATGCCTACTGTATGGGCACCACTGCTGGACAGACTCAGTACAGGAGGGAGGACTGTTACCATGGCTACCAAAGTGCAATCCTTGACCCAGTCATGATTTGGTCATGTAAACTCTTGTCTCTCTCTCCAGACTCTGAAGGATCCCACTCTTGCAGCCAGAAAGGACTTCCAGCGTGAGGCTGAGCTGCTGACCAACCTCCAGCATGAGCACATAGTGAAGTTCTATGGAGTCTGTGTGGATGGAGACCCTCTCATCATGGTCTTTGAATACATGAAGCACGGAGATCTCAACAAGTTTCTCAGGTGAGTATGGTGTGTGTGAGTGATGACAATGGCAACCTTTCCTCACTAGAGGCTTTGGACTTCTAGTACCCATATCGGGGCTACAGGAATTAAAAGGCAAAGGAGCAATTCCTTTAGCCCCTCACAAAGACTCACACGACACGTTTGTCCAAATATTATGTGGCATCACATTAGCAAGACAAACTAGAGAAATGCATTTCCCGTCGAAAATGCATGTGGATGCTATGTGCTGAAGGAGAGGAGTTATGTTGGGGCATGTCTCAATTGCGCTGCATTTTATGAAACACCAGATGGCACTCCAAGACTGTCATTGACTCAGCACTTTGAGCTCCCATTGACTTGTATTGCAAAATATAAAGCTGAATAGATTAAATTAAAAAGTATAAATGTTATGAAAATTGAGTACAAGCAGGGATGTCCTTGAAGAGTTGAACAGATCAAGACCTCAATGGCCTGTATAGCCAAAAGTATGCTGGACAACTTTTCAGAATAAAGCAAAATATTTTAAAAGTGTGATGTTTTGAAAAATTGTTAATAGAAGCATGAATGTCCTTGAAGAGCGGAACATTTTGATAACTGAAAGTAAGCTGAAGTAGAATTTTCCCATTCATTTGAATGGGGCAAAACTTTCAAAATAAAGCTAAATATTTCAAAAGTATGAAGTTTAGAAAAGTTTTGAAAAGAAGCATATATGTCCTTGAGGCGCTGAAATAGCTGAAAGTATGCTGAAGTAGAATTTGCCCATTCATTGGAATGGAGCAAGATTTTCAGAATAAAGCTAAATATTTCAAAAGTATGAAGTTTAGAAAAGTTTTGAAAAGAAGCATATATGTCCTTGAGGCGCTGAAATAGCTGAAAGTATGCTGAAGTAGAATTTGCCCATTCATTGGAATGGAGCAAGATTTTCAGAATAAAGCTAAATATTTCAAAAGTATGAAGTTTAGAAAAGTTTTGAAAAGAAGCATATATGTCCTTGAGGCGCTGAAATAGCTGAAAGTATGCTGAAGTAGAATTTGCCCATTCATTGGAATGGAGCAAGATTTTCAGAATAAAGCTAAATATTTCAAAAGTATGGAGTTTAGAAAACTTCTGAATAGAAGCATGAATGTCCTTGAAGAGCTGAACATTTTGCTACCTGAAAGTATGCTGAAGTAGAATTTTCCCATTCATTTGAATGGGGCAAAACTTTCAAAATAAAGCTATATAATTCAAAGGTATAAGGTTTAGAAAAATCCTGAAGAGAAGCATGAATGTCCTTAAAGCACTGAACATTTTGATATCTGAAATTATGCTGAAGTAGAATTTCCCCCATTCATTTGAATGGAGCAAGATTTTCAAAATAAAGCTAAATATTTTGAAGGTATGAAGTTTTGAAAAATTATGAATAGAAGCATGAATGTCCCTGAAGAGCTGAACATTTTAATAGCTGAAAGTATGCAGAAGTAAAAAAATTTCCCCATTCATTTGAATGGGGCAAGATTTTCAAAATAAAGCTGAATATTTTAAAAAGTATGAAGTTTTGAAAAATTCTGAATGGGAGCATGAATGTCCTTGAAGAGCTGAATAATAAAGAAGAGAATAACATAGTATGGATGCCTTTCAGCATCCGTACAATAATAATAAATAAGAGGAAAACATAGTGTGGATGCTGTAGCATCCACACAATAATATAGAACAGGATAACATAGTGTGGATGCTTTTCAGCATCCATACAATCAAGAAGAGGACAACAAGAGTGTGGATGCTACAGGCTCCATACAATAAAGAACAGAAGAGCATAGTGGCTGCTTTACAGCATCCACACAATGATACAAATTGAGCAACTGTGGTTCAGTGGGTAGAGCGGTCATCTCCCAACTGGAGGGTTGGAGGTTCGAGTCACTGTGCCTGCAGTCCACGTGTCGCCGCAGATGGCTGCCTCGGTTCTGTACCAGAAACAAATTCCTTGTGTGTAACATACTTGGCCAAATAAAGGTGATTATCCTTAGCCTTCAATTCAGTATAAAATATATTATTTAGATGTTTGTGCAGTACATGCTATCTACTTACAACTTACACTGATAAGCATTTCCTGCAAGTGGTGTTTTTTTCTGTTAGCAGAGACTTGAAACATACCTCAGCATTACTAAAGCATCACAATTAAACACAGGTGAATGGTTTAAAAACATGTTAGAAATTTTGTTATACTGTGCTGTTTTTCAAAAATATGCTCCTGCCATTGGAACAATTTGAGCTACACATCGGCACAAAAACACACTATCATATCATTTTGAAGCAGAGCAAACCAGCTTCAATACACTGGATGAACTTGGGCTTGGACATGGGATGAACCATCCTGATTCTGTCACTAACTTCATGGTGGACAGTATAACTGAGGTGTTCACTCCTCCCAACTAAAATGTTTTGGTCATCTATCCTGTTAACTGATCTAAACATAAGCAGTGTCCACCTCCACCATGGAGGGTCACAGGATAAAACATTTACAAGTGAAATTATAAGTGAGTTGCAGATGTCTATTTTGGCAGAGGAAGCACTAAATGCTAAAGTGGTGTATTACCCAAATATTGCTCTTTAAAATTTGCAATAATTTGGCACCGATTGAAAGAAATAAAATATGGCTACCTGCATTGAAAAGTAATTTTTACTGCCAGAAGGTGTGAGCAAATAAAGTTCTTTCTCTGTCTTGAAAATTGGAAAACCACTGGTATGATCCAAGAATTTATGGGGTTAGTTGAATTCCAAATATTTTTTGAACTAGGCCTTCCATAATTGTCATCTACTTGTGCTCTTTTCCTCTGAGTACACAGACAGATAACGTAGAAATAATACTACACTGGATTTTTATTTATTTACAAAACATGGAAAATAGTTAAGCGGGACCGTCACATAAGTTGCAGCAAATGTGGTGCTAAGAAACAGCACGTAGCAGGGCTCTGATGTCTGCATGCTAGCCATCCATGGGACTTTGTATTTACACTTGCTGCTGTGTTTATGTGTTGCCTTGATTGTACTGCATTATGATTGGATGTTGGTAAATAAATTAGTTTGTGTGGCAGCTGCAGCTTAGGGAATAGAGCAGGTTGTCCCGTAACAGTAGGGCTGGCAGTTTGCTCCCAGGCTTCTCAAGTGTCCTTCTTTAGCTGATTTCCCAGCAGGCCCCAGTGGGCAGACTGCGTTACTTCCAGTGGTATAGTTCATGTTCACATAGTTATTATGTTCTATTCCTTTTTTGTGGTGTGTGTTGCAGCAGTACATCTGTTTATTTTTTTATTTATTTCATCTTGTACCACACTTGATTAGTCTTGTTTTTACCTTCCACCCTATGTTTGATTGCTGTTGCAATCCATGCCCTGCCTCTTGTTACGTTATTATGTTAATCTCCAAGGTGCATGGTGCTTTCTGTGGCCTTGCCAAAATAAAAGATGGTGCTAAAGATAGAGCAACTCTGTCATAGCTTCCTACCAACCCAGTGCTCACCACAATATACTGTATAAATATAAACTATGTAGATGTATTGTCAGATAGACATCTACTGTAGTGGAATTGTTTCCCATATAGAGTATAATCCATTAATTTAAATTCAAAAGTTATTAGAAAATGGTCAGATGGAAGAGGGTTTTTAATAGTCCACATTTGATTGTCCTGTTACTTTCTACTATAAGAGAATTTTAATTAGGTTCTTATGAATAACTCCTTTTGAGTTGATTTTTGATTTATATAATTTAGGTGGGCGGGGGGCAGACACAGTCTGTATGGGGTACTGGGAGTGTTGGGTGGGTAGCAGCTGCAAGGAGACAGCAGAGAGGCGTGTAAGACTGCGACCCTGCGTCCTGGACTCGACTCTGGGTTGTCATAATTTAGGTTGTAAAACAAACTTGTCCAGATTTCTAGATTTCAGAGTTAAGTCTAAACCACGGCTTCTCCCCAACAGTTTTGGACCAATTAGATAGTAGCACCTTTTCATACAAATATTGTTAACCACTAAGTTGAGGACAGTCTTTTCTGTTTATCCTAAACAGTGAAGATCCATGTGCACATGATAATTTTGATACGTTAATGCATAATAAATTTCACACTGTGAAATATATATCCTCTTATTAGTCTTCTCTTTTCAATATAAAATGAACACGCCTCACACTACTAATCAGACCAGGTTTTCCCCAAAATGTTTTCCAGTTATCTATGAAGCCCACGTTATTTTCTGGGCACCACCTAGACAGCCAGCGGTTGAATGACGACATGCGGCTAAACATGTCATCACTGGTCACATTGGGTAGAGGTCCAGAGAAAACTACAGAGTCCGACATTGTTTTAGCAAAGTTACACACAGACTCAACATTAATTTTAGTGACCTCCGACTGGCAGAGTCGAGAGTCATTAGTGTGAATAACAACCGTACTGTATTTACGCTTATCCTTAGTCAGCAGCTTCAAATAGGATTCAACGTCACCCAATCTGGCCCCAGGAATACATTTGGCTATGGCCACTGGTGTCTCTAACTTCACGTTTCTGACTATGGAGTCTCCAATTACCAGAGTTGTTTTCTCAACGGGTGTGTCGCTGAGTGGGGAAAATCGATTTGAAACGTGAACAGGCAGGTGATGCTCCGTGGACATTCGTT